TCTATTACATTTAGTAAATTAATAAGCATTTCAAACAAGGAAGAAAATCCTTGTACCAATACAATTAAAAAAAAATAAACCAAATACCAGAACAAGGAAAGCAAAGCAGAAACCTTCATTTTCTACCTACCATCAGACATGCTTTTTAGGATGTAGAGGAAACACATCAGCAGGCTCCTAATCTCAGACTGGTCGAGTTTGTCACAGCGAACCACAGAATTTCCCAAAGTGCTGCTTTGTTGGTGCTGAAAAGGAAATACAGGTGATTTTGCTGTTTCATTACAGGGGAAAAACATTGTGTTTCCCTTTTCTCCCTTGCAAGAGAAAGGTTCTTAGAATTGAGTCGATCATACAAATTGGAAGGCACAAGTCATTTGCTGACAGTTAAACTCCAGGTGCACCTTCACCTGAACGTAATACACACAAACGCCGTTCTGTAGAAGCTCTGCCTTGTCTCCCTGGCACACTTTCCTAGGGGACAAGCCAGGAGGCACAAACCTTTCACACCGGGTGACCACAGTTTCAGTTATGCCAAGTAAAACCTTCTGAAATGCCAAGTAAAACCTCATGCAAAGTTGTGTGTGCTAGGATCGAACACGGAAGACACCGCACAATCAACCATCTCCTCAGGGAAGGGGCAGTGGCCGAAACAGCAAGTAAACCCAGCGGAGCTGCTGTGTTCCAGCTGCAAAGCCTGAGCCCAGGTGCTGTCATCTGGGGGTCATCGTGGGGTGGGTCATGGGCATTGCTGGGGGAATGTAAGGGGCAGGTGCCTGACAGGGACAAACAGGGACACCTCAGCACAGCATCACCAAAGACCCTAAACTGATGAGGTCACACCATCATCAGCTTAGCTCCACGACACTGCAAACGCCAGAAAGCTTGGGGCAGAGGGGAGGGCAGTTTTGCCACTAAGCAGTACATAAAAAATAAGTAAATAAATAAATAAAACAAGAGTCTCATCTCGTGCTTACGAACACAGGAGATTTAAAAAACACTCCAACTTATGTTTCCAAGTGAAATCAGGAACATTTTTTGCCAAATACCAAAGAAAAATGATCAGCGAAAAAAGATGTTTCACACAAGGTCTTGGTGGCCAATTGAAAAATACAGGCTTAATTAATAAGATATGTGAATATTTGTTTTTAAAAAAGAAACACAGGTGCAATGAGTGGCAAGACTGGTACGGAAGCATCACCTCGCCTGCCCCCTTGATGGGAGGCACTAGGAGAAGGCAGTACTTCTTGCAGGGGAGGGGTGGGCGCAGCGTGCAAGGTTTCCTCTGGCAGAGGCGGGATCGTTAGAAGGGAGAAGTCCACAGTGACCCGGTGCTTCCTGGCTGACTGGCAGCTCTCCTCCTCCTCTCCAGCACCACGTATGACACAAGCGGAGTGCCTCCGCAGCAGCTTCTCCTTCTACAGGCGAAGGCATGTTGGGGTCAAGGGAAAAGTTCAACAGGTCACGACACACTCCCGCACTGAGCTGCTTGTGCCGCGACAGAACTGTATTTAAAGACAATCACGTGCGTGCCAGCCATGGAAGAATGCGTGACAAGATTACACACCTGGTGCTGAAGAGCACACTTTCTAGATGTTTGCTGAGAACTAGGACTACATCCCCATATGGTTCGCCTGCTTATCAGCGCAGGTGCTGGCCTCTAACTTCAAATAACTTAGGAAAACCGTGCCCAAGGTGATACCAATTTGTCATGGTTTCAGATTTAAATCCAAGCTTTATCCTTTCCCACAAAGTTCCAAATTGCCTGAGCCTTTAGAAATGTCAAGAAAAAAGGTTAAGTATGAGGAGGAAGTGTGAACAGAGTGATTTCAAACAAAGCCTTATCCCAGGATCACCTCTGTGGTCAAGAACTCTTTTCTGGAGCTGGCTTCAGAGACGTGCATGGAGAGCTGTGTGAGAGGTGGTGTTCTCTGGTGTTCTCTCTCCACAGGGAGTCTAAGTGGGTGGCACTTTGACTCCCCACCTGTCTGACCTGCCAGAACCATCCACTCACAGTGTTCCACTGTAAACACTGCCCTCATCTGAAATCCTGGAAACAGGAATCAGAGAGTTTCAGAAAATGGGTCCCAACCTTAGACAAAGCTCTGATCATCTACCCAAGCTTGGTGGAGTTGTTTACAAAAAACAAAATGTCACACTTACAAGGCACTAGAACATGAAGCAAATTTAACACAGACTAAATCCATTCATTACAAGAAATGCTTGTGTTATGTGAAAAGAAATTACCTTATCCAGGGAATTGCTCTTCTCACTGTTCCTTTCTGGAAGGCTGTTCCCTGAATCTGTGCTTATGAGAGATCCTCTCGAGTCAGCGCTTCTCACACTGTTGATGTTTGGAGTTGAGGTCGTATATGGAGAAGCTAAATGGAAATGATACCAAGACCAAAGTTTTGTTGAGACAGAGCAAAATAAAGGTAAGTTCTGACTTTTAAGGGAAATTGCTTTTATGGCACTTATTTTCTCTGTTAGGAAATTGGCTCAAGAGTTGCATTCAATCATTTCACCTTTAAAGAACCACGTCAAATGATGAGATAAAAGTAAACTTTAGGCTGAAACACTGAGATATAAATATCAATTCATTTATTAGAAACCACCTTTGCTGAGACAAAAAGGACACACACTGTTCCACAATGGGATAGAATGAAGACTTAAAAGAAAAGGTAAATCCACCTACAACTATCAAATAAAAAAATTATGTCATATAACAAATCTGCGTATTCAATCTCCAAGCTTAGGTGCCCTAGAAAACTCTGAGGGGTGTCATGAGATATCATATATTTTCAAGGGAAACCTGATGTGATACTCGACATTGACCAGAAACTGCAGTTTCAACAACAGATAGTGCTACATTCCTCTCGATGATGTCATATCTTTATGAAGCTGGGTAGCTGGGGTTTGCTATGATAAAAAGCAAGTGCTGGGTGAAAATCAGTGTGGAACAGGAAATGAGGATGATGGTGGACAATCTGATTCCAAAGTTCAAGAAGGTGTGAATGTCCAACAGGCATGCACACACCCATTAGTAATAGTTGTGGTTATTAAAAATGAAATAAAAATTTTTCTTTAAATTTAGTGTGTGTGTTTCGAATGCCTGATAAGTTATTAGGATATAAATACTTGTAATTTGGCCCCAAGTACCTGACAAACAGAACTGTTAGGTGTTTCTCTTGGTCTGGGGGCACTATGAAAAAATAAGGGTGCAATGAACTAAGAATGGTTGGGACTCTGCTATAAACAGTTACAAGCAGAAAGGAAATCTAATTTGGCAATAAAATTTGTGATGTCCATGAAAAAACAGCATTTGAAGGTGGAAATCAGTCCCAACCTTGGTACTATGGATTTTTTTAAGGTAAGAGACTGACTTCCTGCTTAGATAAGATTTAAGTAAATCACATAATTAAAACTGACTCTTTGGACTTGTGCATTTTGTTGCTGAACCAACAGGCATGCCTCCAGCAAAAAGGTCTGGCTTGTTTTGCAGATGGCATGAGGAGATTTTGGCACCGTGTTTGGCAGCTGTAAGCACATCCTCCCAGATCCAAGCTGAGGTGCCATACCTCACGAAAGGCTGGTCATTTTCAGATTTCAGTAGGCAAATTAGCTACCAGGCACTGAGACAATTCTACATTAAAAAAATAAATAAATAACAAAATAAATATAGCTGGCCCCTGGGTTGCACCAAAAGTATTTTTGTAAGTCACTTACTTGTTGCACTTTCAAACTTGCTGGCTAATGGCCCAAATTCATCATTTCTCAGGCAACATCAAGATGCTTTAATATTAGAAGGAAGACCTCTATCCCCAGGGTCATAAATCCTTCCTCCTGCCAAACACTCAGATTTACCACTGCTATCCCTGACACAGATTCAGTGTATCAAGCCCAAGAAAGGAAGGGCCAGGGGAATTAGAAAATATCAGTGAAGGCTGGAACACGTAGACCCCCGGGCCCTGTTGCCAGCCACTAACTGCATCTCCCCAGGAAAGAAACTGTGTGATTGATCGTCACAAGAACAGGTGAAAACCCTGTGAAAAAAACATGAGCCTTTTTCTGTACTCAGAGAGAAAAGAAACACACACTGAGACCAAATTACAACTCTTCTAATATAACTGTACTTCGTATTTAATGTAGAACACAGAACTCAAGAGAAAGAGGTCCTCAGTGAAGAAGAATTTGACCCTAAATTCTCAGAGTTTTAGGCTTGATTACAGAACTAGAGTTCTAGTTTAAGGCAAACAAATGGAAATGTGATATAATGTCCTTAGTTTGTTCCTGGTTTGTATATGTTTGTATTTCATATTCATTTCATATGTATCTTTGAAAGTACATAACTTTCAAAGACCTTAAACAACATATGAGTAAAATGAAAAGAGGTTTAGTTCACCCCCTTCTGCTTGGTACCAACCGCCCAGTGTGATACGCTGAGTAGGTGGCAAAGGGAACGCTGACCCTCAGAATGTGTGCCTTTCACAGTGAATGTAAACTCAGAGTAGCTTTAGTCCAGGCAGTGAATCAGTTTTGGAAATTCCCAGGCACCATGCTCCAAAGACATTTAAAAACTGTGAGGGCACGTTCTCAACACGGGTGGGAACAGGATTTCTTGTAAGCAGAGGATGTTAGGAGAAGGTCTGCTCTTGAAGGATAAGCACCAGGGCTAAAGTTAGCTGGAAACTCCCTGATGCATCAGAGAAGAGCTGCTAAAGCTACAGAAAAAAGCCAGTAAACCCAATGCAAAGGTGACGTGTTTCTGGAAGGCACTCCTAAAAGGGAACAAGGACTTAAGTCAGACAGAAACAATATTTCAAGAGAGAAGATTTTTGAAAACTGTCTTTAAGATTGAATTCTACCCACAAACTGCTATCTCCTTCGGGAATTACTATGTCACATTTCTTCTAAATCACTAACATTACAAAGAAATCCTTCCTTCTCCCCAACACCTGCAAAGATATGCCTTTTCTAGCAGCATAAACAATCCAATTAAGATTTAAAATGACAAATCAACTTAACAAGCATTAAACAAAAAGCAAACAGCATAAGCAAGGGATTAAATGTACTATATTTAGGATCACAAGCATTTTGGGATTGTTATTTCAGTGTATGGTTGAGGGATTTCGGTTGTCAAGTATCACAACCAGGAAAAGAATATTCAAGGCAGAAACTCAGACTTCAAAGTCTGAATTTGCAAATGCGACATGTTAATCAACTATGGAACTATCGGATTAAAGACACTTTTAT